AAAAAAAAAAAAAAAAAGAAAAAAAACAAAGAGAAACGAAAAAAAAAACCTATATTGCGCATATCATCATTGTGTACATGTGTCAGTTAATTTCATTACAATATAAATATTCAAATTTATGTTCTTTTTTTTTCTCTCTCTCTCTCCCATTATTGTAATTAATTATAATTTGTTTTCCATATGATATTATTTTTGTTTAATAATACTTATATTTGCATAAGTATGTCACATTAGGAAAACGCGCTTATTATTATTATTATTTTTTTTTTTTTAAGTACAGGGTTATTTTGCATTTAACATTTAGCAGCAGCTTTTTTTTCACAATTAATTTGATAATATCAATCAATTCGCGTTTGAATTTTGTTTTATGCAATGTATGGTGCTAAAAGGGTTAAATGCAAATTTGTTATAATAATAATTCCCCCCTTTTTAATTTTATATTTCATTTTAATAGTCTACTTTTCAGGTATATCTAAATTTGTGCAAATGTTCATACCAAAAGTGAAAAGTTTAATATATATATATATATATAAGATAATAATTATTATAAATTAAACATAATTTTTCCAATTGAATGGTCGCAGTTTATTTAAAAAAAAAAAAAAAAGAAAAGAACAAAAAAAAATCATTAAAAATAATTTTTAAAACCACCATCCATTGATTTTTATTGTTACTCATATAAATATATATTTATATATATATATATATACACATAGGCTTTTATTTATTGTATGTTGTGTAAAAATAAGTTTGGTGTGTGTTAATAAATTACATATATTAATGATGATTACTTTAATTATATTGCGAAACTAATAATTCACATTGGCCAAGATAGATAACAAGATGAATTAACAAATATTATAATAATATAATACACATAAAATTATACAGTATTATATTCAATTTTTATCTTATCATTCGAGATATCATCTTTCAAATCTTTTTTGCACAACAAACAAACAAACAAAACAAAACAAATAAAGAACAAGTGAAATTTAATAAAACAAATACACCAAGCGGAACAAATATTGTAATTAAATAAAACAAATTATGTAAACTATTATGAATGTAAGAAGAAAGAGATCATTCGACTGTAAAATTGATTTTTTATTACTGTCAAAAAAAAAAAAAAAAAAGAAATTGAATAATAGCCTATAAATTATTGTCGAGTTAAATGAAACTAACAACAACAACAAAGAAAACAATGAAGAACAATAAGATTGTTTAAATTTAATTAATTATTATTATTATTTAATTTTCTCTACACATGTGTGTGTATTAACAATTCAACGTGTCAAATGATGCTACTGTAAATTCATATAATAACAAATTTACATTTTTAGCATCTAACAAAATATTCAGTATAATAAACCATCCTTTCATTATTAATTGAAATGCATCAAATGCATTAATTATAATAAATTGTTTGCTTATTTTTAATGACATAGAACAAAGACAAAAAGAATCATAGTAAAATACAGGAAAAAAGTGTGTACGTACATACACGCACCATATGCATTAAAATATTATTGATGCATGTGGGATGTATGTGAATGTGTGTGAGAGAGTTGAATTAAAAAAACAAAAAAACAAAAAACAATAATATTTTTATCCATTTTGTGGATAAATTTCATTTCGAGATTATGAAATACATCTCGTTGTAGTAAAATATGTGTTGTATACAGGTGGGGTGGGGGGTGGGAAGGGGTTGAACACCCTGTACTTTCCAATTAACAATGATCGAACAATGTTATGAAGAATCTTGTAATATAATGTGACAATTATCAATCATCAAATTATATTTTTTAATTATGAACAAATGAAATGATATATGATAATGGAATGAACTTTTTGTTTTTCGGTCAAAACAAACAAGAAACAGGATAATAACTGTATAAGATTTTATCAATCATTTATAGTTGTGATGCTTTTCTTATTTTTTGTGTTGCTGTGTTGACGACGACGACATCATTAATTACTCTCTGTTATTGTTTAATTAAATAATAAAAATAACAAATTATATACATTTTATAAAACAATTCTCTATATGGATATAAACAAATACAGTAGTTTTGTTTTCAAATGAATTCAAAGTACAATGTGTTTTATGATAAAACATGTCTATTGCATGTTCATTTTTATATTACATTAAAATCAATTATTATTATTAATATTAGATAATAAATATTTGTATAGGTGTTCAGGAGTGTACGTAATATATATATATATATATATTTATTTATAAAAAAAAAAAAAAATATTGGAGAAAACATTTGGAAAGTATTCAAGCGTATTATACAATCGATTATTAACATTTTTTATAATCATAAAGGATCACTGTATATTAGTATAAAAAAAAGTTGCTATATATATATATATATATTATTTTAATGCATGAATCTTTCTACGAGTAACATGTATAATTAATTATTCATTTTATTCATGAATAAATTATTATTGTTTGTTCAAAATACAGAGTTAGGGGTTCGATATTTTAAATGCTTGACAGATTGCAGCACTTGTCGAAGACAACCTGTATATTGATAAAAAGAAATGGAAGTATATTATTTTAATGCATGAGTTTTTCTATGAGTAATATTTATAATTAATTAATCATTTTAATCATGAATAAATTATATATTAATAGATAAAACTAGGGGTTCGATATTTGAAATGATAGACAGGTGGCAGCACTTGTCTGAGGCAACTTGTTACACACTTGACACTTATCATTAATTAGTCTACGGATAGTCTCCTACGGTGGTGGTTTATTACAGTTATTATTGTGACTGTTGTTATTAGTAATATTACATGCAAAATATGGTTTACTTACTTTTTACGTCTACTTTAACCGAAGAGGAGTCTATGTTGCAGATGAAATATGGAAAACTCAAGAGAAAGGTATATTTCAAGATTTATTTATCAATGTATTAAAAATTGAGGTTAGGTTTACATTTGACAATGATTATACACTGTGATTATTATTTTATTTAACAGTGTTATATTAATAGTGTAAAATTACACTGATTAACATGTACAGGCCATTAATAATAATATTAAATAATAATAATAATAAATAGTAATATATTAATAAAGTATTCATATCATTAGTCAATTGATTATTTTATCAATATAATGTTATAATTAATACTGCAATAATAATAATTATGATTTTTATATATATAAAATCATGAAATATTTTATAACATTTGATATAAAAAACGTATATTTAAAAATGTATTTAACAATTCTTTAAAAGTTAAGGTTAGGTTTATATTTGACAATAATTATACACTGTGATTATTATTTTATTTAACAGTGTTATATTAATAGTGTAAAAGTACACCTATTTAGATGGACAGACCATTAATAATAATAAATAATAATATATTAATAAAGTATTATCTTCATTAGTCAAAACAATGTTATAATTAATACAAAAATAACAATGATAATGATCTTATAAATAAAATCATGAAATATTTTGTAACATTTTGTATAAAAGTCATTCATTTGATCATTAATAATAAGTTAATTGTTTTATATTTTAGAAAAAAGCATTGCAAGATTTAAAATCACCCAAACAAGAAACAGAACGTGTACCACAAGCACCCAAACGTCCAACAGAAGCAAGAGATGCCAGAGAAGTTGCAAAGAAACTTATCAAGTCTGGTGTAATTACAGCACCAAAAACACCCAAGAGACCGGAACAATCATTCAAAAGGCCACGTGGATTGGAAAGAAAATTAAATAGTACTGAAAAAACAGTTAGCTCTTATCAACCATTTTCAGCAGCTCAAATGGAAGAAGAAGAAAGTGATACAGCAAGACCTAGGGTTAAAGATTTGTATAATAGTTTTATCACTGCTCAAGACAAAGAGGATAGAAGTCCGGTTGATAAACAAGCACAAGTCAAACAAGAAATTAAACCTAGAGCTGGTAATACAATATTTGTTTGCGGTTATAAGATATCTGAAGATTTTTTGAAAAAACATTTTCAAACATTTGGCAATGTTATCAACATATCAATGGAAGCTGAGAAAAAGTAAATATTATAATCATTATTTTCATATATATATATATATATATTTTGTTGTTGCAATATTTTATACTAAAATATATTAATATATTTTATTTCAGTCGAGGATTTGTGACCTTCGACAAACCTGAGTCAGCTGAGAGAGCAATCAGTGAGATGGATGGTAGCATGGTTTCATCTATCCAATTAAAAGTTTCTTTGGCAAGAAGACAACCAATAATAGAACCGATGAACGATGCATCTTCTAGTTCAATGTGGACCTCGATAGCGGCTAATTATTCCTTGAAGAGTGTACATAAAGATAGACGTGATTTGAAAGTTTACGAAGAAGATCTTTTCCAGTAATGATATACATACAAATAATTTCAGTTTTTGGTAATCCTTTTACGACTAGGAGTCAATCTAGAGTCCGTGTATATATTTCCAATATTGGCCTATATGCTCATTCAGTTTTTTTTTTTTTAAATGATCATAAAAATTGGTTTGTTATTTTTTTTTTCTTTTTCTTTTTTTTTTTGTTGTTAAAAAATCAACATCGAATCAACAATGGTTTCTGTAAATTGTAAACATGATCACTGATGATCACTGATGATCACATCGGTGCAATGTGTTAAACACTTTTGTTACAACGTTTCGATTTATATCATTATTTTTATTATTATTTTTTATTTTATCAAATCAAAATAGGACCGTGTCAAGTTTTTCAGCCTATTCAAATCTAAGTCCGAGGTTTTTTTTGTTATTATTTATTTTGTTAAAAATATACATTTTTTACTTTTTTGTTTTTTTTTGTTTTTTTTTTGTTTTTTGTTTTTTTTTTAGGCGAGTGATGACCTCTAATTTTGGGTTGCAGCCTAGAAAGATTATACCTAAAGAAGCAACTGTATTATATTAGTATCAAATTAATCAGTAAACAAATAAAATTTCTCATTGTAATAATTTACATTACCTCATTATATTAATTTACATAATTATTCTCATGTAATAATTTACTAGCTGACATATACATATATATATATATTTTATAGAAAAAAGAAAAAAAGTAACCAAAAAAAAAACAAAAGAAAATTTACAAATGTGCTAATCTGAACCTATTATATATGCAAAATAATTATTATATATTTTCGTATTAATATAATCATATGAAATTATAGGTTATAACGTATAATATTTCGTGTATAATAATATATTATTATATACGATTTTTTTCCTAACTGTATAAAGTTATTTATTTTATTTCATCACTATGATATAATCGTCGTATCTTCGTATAATCGTTGTTTTAATAATAATAATAATAATAATATTGGATATATATGAGCCGTTTATTTTGAAAATGGCCTAATTCCATTTTCCAAAAAAAAAATCAAGTTAGCAACTGTAATAGTTTACATTTTTACATGATCTTTTCATTCTGAAGTAATTTGTTACTAAAATATTAAAAATTATTCAAATTTTGTAACACGAAAGTTTGCTGATTAATGA